TCCCGCCGTCCGGCCCCTGCAGTCAAGCAGGAGGTGGCCCGGCGCAACAGGTGGCCCCTGGACGCGGTGGTCCTGTCCAGCGAGGTCACCAAGCATCCCGAGGAAAGCGCGGTCAAGGCGGCCCCCGACGACGGCGTCCTGGTGCACGGCCTCTTCCTGGACGGCGCCGCGTGGAGCGCCAAGGAGGGGCGGCTGGTGGACCAGGAGCGCGGCGCGCTGTACGCGCCGCTGCCGGTGCTGCACCTGACCGCGGTGCTGGCCAAGGACCGGCGCCGCCTGGGCGTGTTTGACGCGCCGTGCTACCGCGGCAAGCGCCGCACCGGCGCGCGCTTCGTGGATGCCCTCATGCTGCGCACCGACGCGCCGCCGGCCAAGTGGGTGCTGCGCGGCGCCGCGGTGCTGTGCAGCGTGGACTGAACGGGCCTCCGGAGAGGCTGCGGCGGCTGACCTTCTCACGGGCTGAGGGAGGCAAGGGCTGCGGCCCGGCCGCCGCTCGCGAGCTCGCCCTGATCGACCTCTTGCTGTACTGTATCTTTCTCCTCTTCTTGTGTGCTCTTCTTCTGTTTCTTTAGTTACTGGTGGCCTCCGGCCGGAAGGCTGATATTCTCAAGCTGTAAGCCACCGCAGTGCCGCGCGACAGGCTGCCCCGTGGTTCCACGCACCGGCTGCTGCCGCGCAGTGACAGGCGGACCACTCGCAATTGGATTGCCCGGCGTTGCCCCTGGCCTGCCCGGGGGCCCTGCCTGCCCCTGGGACCAGCATGCGATGCTACCTTACACAGAATTGCCGATGCTGGGAACAGACGTGCAACCGCAATGTGTGCAGCATAGGTGGGCAGCGGCCAGCCACAAGCGGCGGCATGCGTCTCCTCGCAAGCCGGGCTGCTTGCCTGCCGCCGCTCCGGCCTGCAGCTCCCCTGCAGCCGGCGCCGCCTCCGCGCCCTCCCTCCCTCCCCCACCCTGCGCCGCCTCAGCATCAGCCTGCTGATCAGCAGTTCTCCGCCTGCCAGCGCAGCTCCTCCTCGGTCATGGGCCGCATGAAGAGGCTGCCGTCGTTGTCGCCCGCGGGGCGCCAGGGCTCCACCGCCGCCAGCCGCGCGCCCTGGGGTGGCGGGGCAGGCGGCGGGGCCGAGGGCAGAGGCGAGGGTGAGCGGGGCGGCGGACGTGCGCGCGGCAGGAACCTCAGGAAGTTGAGGGGGCACTGTGCGGCACTGCGCTCCCGTCGCTGCCGGCAGGTGGCACCTTGCCGGAAGCCATGGTGCTGTGGGGAGGGAGGCCCGAGCGTGCCACCCAGCCGCCACCTGCGCCACCAGCATGCCCTGCCGCCAGGCCCGCGCTGCCACCTGGCG